AAAAAAATCTACCTCATCATTTAAAATGACATGGGTGTTGGTTTTATAGACTTTTGTTTTTTCTAGGTTTAATTTCAGTTAAAAAACTTTAAAATATGACATTCCCTGCAGGTATTGTTATATACCAATATGTGTGAATTCTTCTCTCTTTTTTAATTTTTCTGACCATCGAGGAGCAACCATCAATAGGAGTTTATAATACCAAGTACAAGAACGTGCTGCATATCTTGTCTCAATAAGTTTTATTAAGTAACATTTTAAAACATTAAAACATGTTACTTGACCCAATTTTTCAACACTAGAGTTGTTCCATAAAATGGAACATCTTATAAATTTCAAGTTTTTATACTTGGAATTGTTAAGAGTTAAACAGCTAGTTGGATTTGTTACAGGCAATGAGTTAAGGAATCCTTTCACATTTTTCCCAATTTTAAAATTAAGGATTCTCAGGGACCTGTGAAGAGCAGTGAAAATAAGTACTCGTGTGTGTGCCTGGAGAACTGGTGTTCCACTTGGGTGAGAGGATTTGCTGTGAGCTTCAGACTAGGGAATGTATCATCTTGCTATGTGTTGCCAAGCACCTGGCTGAGTATGCTGGAGTGAGGATCTTGAACAGAAACTTCCTTTTCTGTTATTATTCGATACAAAGCTAAAATGGCTAAACATATACTGTGAAAATTGCTTTCTTTCAACAAAAGATCATATCCTTCCTTCAGCTTTGCAGATTTTTAAATAAAATTTATTGAACTAAAAAAAAAAGAATAGTCACATGTTATCAAAAAATTAAATATTAGGTTATTACGTATGAAATGTCCAATTTCCTTAAGTACTAGGTTTAACAGTTGATATCTGTGTCATGTCACTTTGACACTTCTTATTTTATCTTTATTGTGAAGGTACAGCCTTAAACTTTCAAACACACATTTGGCTTGTGATTATCTTTCAAATTGTTTTAGAGCAATTTTTGTGAAACCATGGATAAGTAAAAAATTCATGTTATTTTCGAATATGAGTTCCATCATAGAATCAATACAGTGCAGACAGGAAATATCAACAAAGTGTTTGGCAAGGATTTGGCTAATGAATGCACAGTACATCGATGGTTTGAGAAGTCCCATTCTGGTGATTTTAATCTTGAAAATGAGCCATGTGGGCAACCTGAGACCAAGGTAGATAATGATGAGCTGAAAGCTGTAGGGGAAGTGAATCCACCTCAGCCTATGTGTGAATTAGCAGCAAGGTTTCACCAAACTATTCAAACAATATTGGACCATTTGAAACAAATAGGCAAGGTAAAGAAGCTGAATAGATGGGTTCTGCATGAATTAAATGATCATCAGAAGAGAAATCATCTCGAAGCTTGCCTTTCTTTGCTATCACGACATAAAGGCGAACCATTTCTACAACTTATTATTACATGTGATGAAAAATAGATTCTTTTGTCAATTTCAAGCGTTAAGCACCACGGATGGATAAAGATGATGTGCCAAAACACGGTCCAAGTAGATTCTAGTTATCAGCCCTTTATCAGATTTGTAGCATGCAAAATTTTTCTCCCATTCTGTAGGTTGTCTGTTTGCTCTTGTGACAGTTTCTTTGGCTGTG